TGAGGAAGCCTGCATGAGGGTTATTTAAGAGCAACTGCTTGGAACTCCACAGGCTTCTTCCATTGACTCAATCCCTGTTGGTTTTTGCAACTAGAATAAATGAGGATTCATCTTCTTGGCACAGGAACCCTGGGCTGGTGGGCCTGGTATAGGGCTGAAACTCCTCACTCCCAATTTTTTTAACCACCACATGTAGATGTGAGACAAGCCTGTTCCATATTTCTGCCCCTCCTCCCAGCCTAGATGGATGTGGTTCCTTTAATTCCATGATTGTCAAACTTCCATTCAATTTGATTTCTGATAGCCCTGAGTGATGGTTGTTCTAGTTTAGTTGTAATTTTGATGTGGTTGTGCTAGGCAGGCTGTGTACCTATAACTCTATTTTGACTGGAAGTCCAAAACAATCTTTTAAAAATTTATTTCATTAAAATTTAAAAAATTTTAATAGGTTTTATTTATTTATTTTTAGAAAGAGAGGAAGGGTTGAAGAGAGGGAAACATCAATGTGTGGTTGCCTCTCATGCACCCTGCACTGGGGACTTGTCCCACAACCTAGGCATGTGCCCTGACTGGAAATAAAACTGGCAACCCTTTTGTTTGCCAGCTGGCACCTAATCCACTGAGCCACAGCAGCCAGGGCTAAATTTCTTTTTAAAAAAGATTTTATTTACTTATATTGAGAGGAAAGGGGAAGGGAGAAAGGGAGGAAAACATTGACAGTAGCCTTTTCCCATGCACCCTGATTGGAGACTGACCCACAACCTAGGCAGGTGCCCTGACCAGGAATAAAACCAGAGACCTTTTGCTTTTCAGGATGATGCCCAACCAACTGAGCCACTGTGGTCATTTGAAAAACAATCTGGAAAAAGAAAAACAAAACTGGAGGACTCAAGCTTTCTTTTTTAAAAATGTATTACAAAACTACAGTAACAAAAACACTGTGGTATTGGCATACAGACCGATGGAATAGTATAGGGAGGCCATAAATAAGCCCTCACATATACTGCCAAATGATTTTTGACAAGGCTCCCAAGACCATTCGATGGGGGAAAATAACAGTCTTTTCAACAAATGATGGTGGGAAAACTGGATATTCACATAGTAAAGAATGAAGTTGGACTGTTAATGTCATACAAAAAAAAAAACTAACTCAAAGTGGATCAAGGACTTCAATATAAGACCTAAAACAATGAAACTCTTATAATTAAAAAAAAGTTTATTCATGAAAAAGACACTATCAACAGAGCATAAAGGCAACCCACAGAATGGAAGAAAATATTATCAATCATATCATCTGATAAGGGATTAATATCCAGACTATATAGAGAACTAAAACTCAACAACAACCTGATTCAAAAATGAGCAAAAGATTTGAAGAAACATTTATCCAAAGAAGATATACAAACTGCCAACAAGTACATAAAAATATGCTCAACAGGACTAATCATTAGGGAAATGAAAATCAAAACTACAATGAGATACCATCTCACACCCATTAGAATGGCTACTATCAAAAAACCAGAAAATGTGTTGGCAAAGATGTGGTGAGATGAGAATCCTTGTGCACACTGTTGGTGGGAATGTAAAGTGGTACAGCCACTGTGGAAAACATCATGGGAATTCCTAAAAAAATTAAAAATAGAACTACCATATGAACCCTCAATTCTACTTCTGGGTATATACTAAAAAATATTGATAGCAGGCTCTTGAAGAAATATTTGGACACATGTTCACAATAGCATTCATCACAATAGCTAAAACATGGAAACAACTCAGGTATCTGCTGATGGATAAATAAACAATATGTAGTATATACAAACAATGGAATATTATTCAGCCTTAAAAGAAAATTCTGTAACATGCTACAACATAGGTGAAACAAGCTCATTATGCTAAGTGAAATCAAGCAATCACAAAAAGACAAATACTATTTTATTCTACTTCTATGAGGTACTTATAGTCAAATTTATAAAGACAGAAAGTACAATGATAGTTGCCATGCAGTGGGTGAAGGGGAGAATAGGGAGTGACTATTTAATGGGGGAAGAATTTCAATTTTAAAGATAAAGAGGATAATGAGGATGGATGGTGGTGATGGTTGCACAAAAATGTGAATGTATTTACTACCACTGAACTGTACACTTAAAAGACAATTAATTTGGCTTTGGCTGGTGTAACTCAGTGGATTGAGTGACAACCTGCAAACCAAAGCATCGCCAGTTTGATTCCCAGTCAGGGCACATGAGTATGTTGTGGGCCAGGTCCCCAGTAGGGGGTACATGAGAGGCAACCACACATTGATGTTTCTTGCCCTCTTTCCTCTCTCTCTAAAAATAAATAAAATCTTTAAAAAGATAATTAAGATTCTTATACTATGTATATATATATTTTTGGGGGGGGGTGTTGTTTGTTTGTTTTAACTTTTGATATCAATAGGTATCCTGAATTTTTAAAAAAATTTATTGATTATGTCATTACAGTTGTTCTATTTTTCCCTTCATTCCCCTCCACCCACACCCCCTCCCCCACCATTCCCCCCTTTAGTTTATGACCACGTGTCTCAAGTGCTTTAGATTCTATATTTCCTATACTATTCTTGCCCTTCCCCCTATTTTCTACCTACCGTCTATGCTACTTATTTTCTGTACCTTCTCCCCCCTTCTCCTCCTCCAACTCCCCTGTTGATAACCCTCCATGAGATCATTTCTATGGTTCTGCTCCTGACCTAGCCGTCCTCTTAGTTTGCTTTTGTTTTAGGTGTGGTTCTTAATAACTGTGAGTTTGCTGTCCTTTCACAGTTCATCTTTTTTATTTTCTTTTTCTTAGAGAAGTCCCTTTAACATTTCATATAATAAGGGCTTGGTGGTGATGAACTCCTTGAATTTGATCTTATCTGAGAAGCACTTTGTCTGTTCTTCCATTCTAAATGAAAGCTTTCCTGGATAGAGCAATCTTGGTTGTAGGTCTTTGGATTTCATGACTTGGAATACTTCTTTCCAGCCCCTTCTTGCCTGTAAGGTCTCTTTTGAGAAATCCACTGACAGTCTGATGGGAACTCCTTTGTAGGTGACTATCCCCTCATCTCTTGCTGCTTCTAGGATTCTCTCTCTCATTTTTATCTTGGCTGATATAATTATGATGTGCCTTGGTGTGTTCATTCTTGGGTCCAACTCCTTTGGGACTCTCTGAGCTTCCTGTATTTCCTGGAAGTCTATTGCCTTTGCCAGATTGGGAAAATTCTCCTTTATTACTTTGTTCAAGTAAGTTTTCCACTTGTTGCTGTTTCTCTTCCCCTTCTGGTACCCCTACAATTCAGATGTTGGAGCGTCTAAAGATGTCCTGGAGGTTCCGAAGCCTCTCCTCATTTTTTTGAATTCTTGTTTCTTCATATTTTTCTGTTTGGTCATTTTTTTCTTCCTTCTGGTCCACTCCCTTAATTTGAGTCCCAATTTCCTTTCCATCACTATTGGTTTCCTGTGCATTTCCCTTCATTTCAATTAGTTTAGCCTTCATATGTTCCTCTAATTTGTGATTAAAATCAACCAGTTCTGTGAACATCCTGATCACCAGTGTTTTGAACTGTGCATCTGAAAGTTTGGCTATTTCTTGGTAGCTTAGAGTTATGGGCTCTGGAGATTTGAGTTCTTGAGCCATAATGTTTTGGTCTGTTTGGGCCCATTACATGTGAGGAGCAGAACCTTAGGTGTTCACGGGGGCGGGGCCGCCAAGGTCACTGGGTAGTGACACTATATGTGGGGGTGGGGTCAGAGAGGGAGAAATGGCGGTCCCCTCTGCTGCTTCCCGCCACTGGGGCCTGCTCGGTCTGTCTCACTGCTCGCTCCTGCGCTGGTTTATCTGTGCGCAAGTGTGTGACCACGGTCAGCCTACCGCCTTGTGCCCTCACTGGGTCTGCCTGTCACAGCACCACGCCTGGGATCTGCCAAGCACCACCTGGTGCTTGGGTCGGTCTGACCGAGTTTTCCTGTGCAACCCCGCTCCACCAGTCACTGGCTCTGCCCCTCTTACCAGTCTGGCTGAAGGGTTCGTTGTTGTCGGACTTTGGTATAGTTCAATTTTCTGTGTTTTGGCTGCATTTTTTGTTACTAAAATTTTGTTGTCTTTAAACTTGATTGTGCAAGAAGGCACAATGTTTCCACCTACGCCTCCATCTTGGTGGACCTATCTATATTTTTTACCATGAGAAATACAAGAAATGAATTCAGCTGGATCAAAGAATTGTCAAGATAAAAAGGAACAAAGATTGTATTTCGTTACAGATTCTTTTCATAGTAGCAAAGACTAGACACAATCTACCCACCAGGGAGTATGTCTGTGTGTATACTGGAATACTATCCAGCTATCATAAAGAATGTAAATAGTCAGATAAATATATATGATTTCAAAGATACATGGTTCAGTAAAAAGGGCAGATGCAGCAGAGTGCTGATAGTATACTCTTCTTTGTTTAAGTATGTGTCATATAAACATACTTGTGTAGTAACGTATAATAGAATATTTTGGAATATATAAGAAACATAACTAGTTAATTCTGGGGAGGAGATGGGTTGGGAGGTCAGGGAAGATAACTTTACAAACTCTTTGAAAAACACCTTAACTCACATTTTTAAAACTTAATTAATCCAAAAGCAAAACTAATTTGATTCAATGGTCATTTAATGTTTGAATATTGAAAAGTTTCTTTCCTGTAATATAACGAGCAAGTGTTTTGAGAATTAACTAGTCAAATGCTATGAATTCAAAACCAAGCCTGACACTCCTAAAATAGTGAAAAATTCAAGTAGATAAATTCAAAAATGTTTTAAAATCATACAGTAATGTCAACCACCACCTGTCCACCTGAGAACTGGTCCTATTACACAATTCCAAGGACCTACTTAAACCAAATGGAAGAACCTCTACCAAATCTGCCTAAAGATATTGTTGGAAGAAAAAAAGAATGGATAGTTGGTTATAACAGTGAAATGGCTTAAGCTTAAAATAATAAGCAATAGATCCATTTGTTCATTTTCATAGGCAGCTTTATTTGGTTTTTAGAAAAATATATACAATTAGTGGATCTTCAGCTCTTAAATAGTTTTAAATTAACATATGCAAGTATGAGGAAACTATTTCCACAGTTGGAATGCCAATACTGTTCAATAAAGCAGCAGACAGGAATTCTGGCAGCCAAGTCCAACCACTGACAGGAGCAGCAGGAACTGAGCAGGTCATCTGGGTCAGATAGCACAGGAGAGGTTTGTCCTTTTTGTCTGAATATTAAGAAAAGAAAAGATGTGTATATTTAGCTATCCTAACCACTGTACTTTGCGTGTAGATGTTTGGATGTAGGGTGGAGGCCCTTGGAGCCCACAGGCTAATTCTGTTCAAGCAGAGCTCACGTTTCAGGGGGTACTCAGTGGGTTTAGATCTGTTAGAATTACCTGTCACAGTTGACTAGTAGCAAACAAAACTCAAAGTTGTGGAGTATTTGTTAATACTGTTTCTTTGGACAGACCCCTACTTTTTCCTGAATGTTCTCCTTAATGAATTCAAAGTAGCCAAAACTGTGTGTGAAGACAGTTTAGGTGGCAGCTGACTTCCATGGTTTCAAGAAGTTAAGCAAGAAGGCAGCAAGGAGTGCCTCAGCTTAGTTTCAACCTCACCTTTTCCAGGATATACTATGCACTGTATATAAATAACTGCATCCTATGGAAATTCCAGGCCTACCTCTCTAGGAGCACAATTCGGCCCCCACTGCTTCTGGGGCTTCTCATAGAATGGCATGCCAGCCAGAGGCCAGTTTGTCATAGGACTTCCTGAGGGGCTTAAAGGGAACTGGGTTAGGGAACTGATACCAGGAGCAAACATCCTCTTTCCTTGCTGTACACACACACTTGCTAAGTAAGCAAAATGTGCTGAGCAGCTTCAGGCTTCGGGCTCTACACACACTTGTCTGATTGGGAGAAAGGTAATGGGAGACAGGAAATGAGCAGGGGAGCTGGAAGCCCATTAGGAAGGAGAGGGGAGAGTGCGAAATTTCGTTCTCTGCTCCTGGATTTCCTTAGTCTTTTGGATGCAGCTGAATAGCTCCTTAAAAAGTGCTTTGTATTCAGGAGGCGGTGTGCTGCTGGGGGAGCAGGCAGGCTCAGGGGTGCCAGTGGTGGTCAGATCCCTGGCAGCTGGGTCCCTGGCTGGAGCCCTGGCAGTCTGCACAGCTTTGTGGTACAGTGAGTCCCCCTCCTGCTGGCATTTCTGCAGCAGCTCCTCATACATGGCCTTCAGGGCACTATACTGAGTGTCCACTTCATGCAGCAGGGACACGCCCCTCTGCTTCACAGCCTTGGCCCTTCGGATACAGGTCTCCTCATGGCCCTTCACAATATCATCGCCTGCCAAGCTACTGAGCACCGTCTCACTGCTGCTGCGTTTCAGGGGCCTACGCTGGGTCTCAGGCCCGGTCAGCAGCATCTCCTCCAGCAGGCTCTGGTCAGGTTCCTTGAATGGGACCAACAGAGAGTCAGGCACCAGCTTCTCGAGCCCATTCATGAAGGGACGCTCCGACTGCAGCACCCGCCGCATTTCAGCCACCTCAGCCTCCAGCTCCAGCGCCCGGGCCCGGTAGTCACTGGCAGCCCCCAGCTGCTGCTGCAGCTCATCATTCTCCTTCAGCACGAGCCCATACTCCTCCTCCAGGGCCCCCCGCCTCTGCTGCTCCAGGCTCAGCTGCGCTTGCAATGTCCTCACTGCCTTCTTCAAGTGCTTATTTTCCTCTTCCTCGGGGCTTGGCTGACTTGGCAAGGAAGTGATCTTCTCTGCAAACACGTGGTCATACACGAAGTGTCTACAAAAAAATGTGGAAAGAATATATTACACAGGTGACTGAGAACGAAGAGCAGAAGAGTAGTGATTTTTTTTTCACCTAAATGTTTTTGAGGAGCTGTGACAGGGACTAAATTTTTGCCTATTCCTCACTAGAGCAGTGGCTAAAATTGTGTGAGGTGGGCAAATAAAACATGTTTGAAACATAACTTTTAAGACTAATTTCTCTTAGACGTTGAAAGTGCTCCAGAACATCCACTCCCAAGACCCAGCAAACAGAGATTTTCAACTGCTATCTCTCCAGGGAGTTGGAATAGCCCAGAGGTCCCTGACCTTGGTTAGATTAGACTCTCCAGGGTAGTCCTAAAAATTATTGACTCCTGGATCTCCCAACCCCGATTCTGACCTAGCTGGTCTGCCACCTGGACTTGGGGGTTTCCAAAGCTCTCCATGTGGTTTATAACATGCAGCCAAGGCTGAGAACCATTGCTGCAGTGATTTTTAACCAGGAAAGCACATCAGAATCACCTGGCAGCTTTTTACCCACATCCAGAGATTCTGATCTAGGCCTAAAGGAATCCCTTGTATTGCAGTTGGAAAAACTTCATGGGTGAGCTGAAGAACCAGCAACCCAAGGGTGAGACCCAGCAAACACAGAGCTGGCCTCTCTCCTGTTTAGGGTCCTGTGTAACAATGTGCTCACCTGCCTCTCACAGGATGGAAAGCCACAGGAGGGAGGGCAGGAACTGTGTTCCTCACTACTTCTCATCTCCAGCACAGCATCTGATGCACAGCAGGTGCTCAATAAATAGTACTTCAATAGAAATTAAATCTCATAACTAAATTGTAAAGGCATTTCTGTAGGCACAAAAACCATTTGCCAGGATTTTAATTTTACTACGATTTCAATTTTTTCTTCATTCTAATGTGAAATACAACCCCCAAATTTGTGATCTATCAGACGTGCTGCATCTTATTTTAAACTAAAATTTAAAAACACTAAGAGTATGGAAATAAATGCTCCTAAGACTTCAGAAAATGAGTTTTTCATGGATTTACTAATACCCAAGAACTGTATAATTTGCATGTTTAAGTGGTTTTGCTCAAACCACTGGTGCTCTAATAGCCAAGTGGTGTTCCTTGAATGTACTTTGAAGCTACAGGAATGCAGAAGGCATGTATGTGTGCAAGGACACCTCCACCAGGACATGCTACAGAAGGTGGGCTTACTGGCGCAGGTCATAGAGCTCTTTCAGACACGAGAAGCTGGGTGCTGACTTCTGGTCACATTTCCCCTGGCTCTTCCTCCCTTGGCTAGATGACTTCAACTCTTCCACTTGGCTCTGGAGGTGATCGATGTTGGCTTGCAGGCACTCGATTGTTTCAGTCAGACTGTGAGGGACAGACAGAGGCTGATTGCTGCTTGTCATATGAAATTGAGGGCATAGCAGTGAGGGGAGATTAGTTCTCGGCCACTCAAACTGGGCTTTCTTAATTGGAAAAGATTGCTACCTAATCTCTATTTTTCATAAAGAATTAAATTAAACCTTACCCCATATTGACCCAAACCCACAACAGCCATGATCTATTCTACTTTATACTCAATGACTCCTGCCCAGGGCCTCCTTGATGGATTCTAGAAAGTTTACCTCAGAATCTTCTGCTGTGATGCCTTGCTGTCAGCAACAAGCTTTTGGTTTGTTTCTTCCAGTTCCCTTGCTGTGACATCTAACTGCTCATAAACTTTCGCATGCTGCTCATTCATCTGCCGCAGAAGCTCCACCTGCTTGGTCAGGTACTGTAAGAGAAGGTGGTTATGATCAGTTACACACTAAACAGATAAGACATCTGCTGCCTTCCAGCACCACTGGGTGTCATACAACGCAATTCTGACATGAACTTCCTGGAGTCAGTGACCCCACAGGTCATGAGGGCTCGGTTTCACAAAAAAATGCTCCCACTTTAGATGCTAGTTGCAAATCCCAGGGGCTGCCTTTACATTCAGCTAACTGGCTATAATTTGGGGGTTCCCATGACCTCTCCTCAGGTTCAATAATTTGCTACAAAAACTCACAGAACTCAGGAAACTGCTTTACTTACATTTACTGGTTTATTTATAAAGGAATCAACTCAGGACAGCCAACTGGAAGAGAAGTACTAGACAAGGTATGGGGCTGGATGGGTGGCAGAGTTTCCATGGCCTCTCCAGACGTACCACCCTCCCACACATCAGTGTGTTCACCAACCCAGAAACTCCTTCAGCCTCATTTCAGTTTTACTGAAGCCTCAGTATATAGGTATGACTGATTAAATAATCACCAGTCTCCAGTCCCTGTTCCCTCCCCAGAGGCTGGAGCTGAGCCGAGAGTTCTAGCTTTCCTCTGGCAAAAAGTCCCCATTCTATCAGTCAGGAAATTCCAAGGGTTTTATGGACTCTGTGTCAGGAACTGGAGACAAAGAATAAATATGTAATTTTTATTATACTCACAATAGCACAGGTTTATTTTGTGAAAAGAAGACTTTAAATCCTAACTGAACTACCTGTCCTAATAGGAGGTGAGTACAGGTCATGCTTTATATGCTTAGTTCCCCCAGTGCTCACCAACACCCTGTGCATCACTGAGGTTGGGCAAACCCTACAAAGCACATAACACGCATAAAATTCATATCCAACAGGTAAAGCTAGTGAGAGATGATGATCCCACAAGAGAAAAAGGATAGAACACACAATCAATGTTTAAGCAAAAGTTTCTTGTTTTACAGAAAGAAGAAAGCCTGAAGTGGAGGATTTCAGATGATTTTCGCTTGAAAATTTTTTTTTCTGTAAGTGAGCCTTTATGAATAAAAACGGGACGGATAAGGGATAATACTGATTTAACCAGAGATATTTTAGTTCATTATTCAAAGGCTCTTGTTATTTTTAATTCTGTGAAAATATTATCAACATAATCCTTATTCATGAAAAACTTGCCAGATTATTTTGGTGCTGCTAATACTGTTTTCTAAATGGCCAAGGACAGAGAATAATCAAAATAATGACTCAGTGTTAAGTTACTTTGATTTCCTACTCAGCTCTACCTGAAGACACTGAAACAGTATATATTGCAGATGAAATATTCATAGTATTTCTCTGGAAAGAAGAAAAAAAAGTAAGTCTGAGGCATCACCAAACACCAAATAGTAACAGAGCAAAGATATAACTTATTATTTTATTTATTTAAATTTAATTATTGTTCCAGTATAGTTTTCTGTCTTATTCCCATCCCAGCCGACCCTCCCCACCCCGTGCTCTCCACCTCCCTCCATTTCTACCCCCCCCTAGTTTTTGTCCATGTGTCCCTCATATTAGTTCCTGTAAATCCTTCCCCTTTCCCCCTGGAATTCCCTCCCCTCTCCCCTCTGGTCACTGTCCCCCTGTTCTCTATTTCAGTGTCTTTGGTTATATCCTGCTTGCTTGTTTGTTTTGTTGTTTAGGTTCCTGTTAAAGGTGAGATCATATGGTATTTGTGTTTCAACACCTGGCTCATTTCACTCAGCATAATGCTTTCCAGTTCCATCCATGCAGTTGCAAAGGGTAGGAGCTCCTTTTTTCTTTCTGCAGCATAGAATTCTATTGTGTAAATGTACCACAGCTTTTTGATCCATCCATATACTGATGGGCACCTAGGTTGCTTCCATCTCTTGGCTATTGTAAATTGTGCTGCTATGAACATTGGGGTGCATAGGTTCTTTTGGATTGGTGTTTCAAGGTTCTTAGGATATAATCCTAGCAGTGGAATTACTGGGTCAAAAGGCAGTTCCATTTTTAGTTTTCCTGAGAAAATTCCATACTGTTTTCCATAGTGGTTGTATCAGTCTGCAATCCCACCAACAGTGAACTAGGGTCCCCTTTTCCCCACAACCTCTCCAACATTTGTTGTTTATTGCTTTGTTTATGATGGACATTCTGATCAGTGTAAAGTGGTATCTCATTGTGGTTTTAATTTGCATCTCTCTGATAGCTAGCGATATTGAGCATCTTCTCATGTGTCTCTGGATCCTCTGTATGTCCTCCTTGGAGAAGTATCTGTTCAAGTCCTTTTCCCATTTTTTTAAGTAGGTTATTTGTCTACTTAGAGTGAAGTTGTGTAAGTTCTTTGGAGATTAAACCTTTGTCTGAGGTATCATTGGCAAATACATTTTGCCATATGGTCGGTTGTCTTTTTATTTTAATGCTGTTTTCTTTAGCCATGCATAAGCTTTTTATTTTGATGATTCCCATTTGTTTATTTTTTCCTTTATATTCCTTGCTCTAGGGGACATATCAGTAAACATGTTGCTGTATGAAATATCTCAGATTTTTCCTGTCAATGTTCTCCTCTAGGACTTTAATGGTGTCACGGCTTATATTTAAGTCTTTTACCACCTTGAATTTATTTTTGTGTATGGTGTAAGTTGGTGCTCGTTTCATTTTTTTGCATGCAGCTGTCCAATTCTCCCAACACCATTTGTTGAAGAGGCTATTTTTACTCCACTTTATGTTAATGCCCCCTTTGTTGAATATTAATTTACTGTAGAGACCCTGGTTTATTTCTGGGCTCTCTGTTCTGTTTCATTGGTTTATGTGCCTGTTTTTATTCCAGGACCAGGCTGTTTTGATTACAGCAGCCTTGATATTCAGTTTGATATCAGGTATTGTGATCCCTCCTACTTTGTTTTTCTTTCTCAAAATTGCAGCTGCTATTCGGGGTCGTTTATGATTCTATATAAATTTTAGAAGTGTTTGTTCTATGTCTGTGAAATATGCCATTGGTACTTTAATAGGTATTGCATTGAATCTGTACATTGCTTTGGGTAGGATGGACATTTTGATGCTGTTAATCCTTTCAATCCATGAACACAGTATATGTTTCCATTTGTTTGTGTCTTCCTTGATTTCTTTCTTTGGGGCTGTGTAGTTTTCTGCATACAGGTCTTTTACCTTTTTGGTTAGGTTTATTTCTAGGTATTTTATTTTTCTTTTCGCTATATCGAATGGGATTTTTTTCTTGATTTCTGCTTCTGCTGGTTCATTGTTAGTATAGAAAAATGCCTTTGATTTCTGGACATTGACTTTGTAACCCGCTATTTTGTCAAATTCATTTATTAGTTCGAGCAGTTTTGGGGTACAGTCTATAGGATTTTCCATGTACACTACCATGTGATCTGCAAACAATGACAGTTTTGTTTCCTCCTTTCCAATTTGGATGCCTTTTATTTCCTTTTCTTGTCTGATTGCTGTGGCTAAAACTCCCAATACTATATTGAATAGAAGCGGTGAAAGTGGACAACCTTGTCTTGTTCCTGATCTTAGTGGAAAATATTTTAGTTTTTGCGCATTGAATATGATGTTGGCTGTAGGTCTCTCATATATGGCCTTTATTATTTTGAGGAATGCTCTGTCTGTTCCCACTTTGCTGAGTGTTTTTACCATAAATGGGTGTTGTACCTTATCAAAAGCTTTTTCCGAATCTATTGATATGATCATGTGATTTTTGTCTTTGCTTTTGTTTATGTGATGAATTACATTTACTGATTTGCGAATATTGAACCATCCTTGCATACCTGGGATGAATCCCACATGGTGTATAATCTTTTTAATGTATTGTTGGATGTGATTTGCCAAAATTTTGTTGAGGATTTTAGCATTTATATTCATCAGCGATATTGGCCTGAAGTTTTCTTTCTTTGTTGTGTCTCTATCTGGTTTTGGAATTAGGATGATGTTGACTTCGTAAAAAGAGTTTGGTAGTTTTCCATCATTTTGGATTTTTTGGAATAGTCTGTGAAGAATAGGGGTTAGCTCTTCCTTAAATGCTTTGTAGAATTCTCCTGTGAAACCATGTGGTCCAGGGCTTTTGTGTGATGGGAGTTTTTTGATTACTGCTTCAGTTTCACCTGCTGTTATTCATCTGCTCAGGCTTTCTGCTTCTTTTTCATTGGGTTTTGGAAGATTATATTTTTCAAGAAATTTGTCCATTTCCCCTAGGTATTCAAATTTCTTGGCATACAGTTCTTCACAGTAATTTCTTACAATACTTTCTATTTCTGTGCTATCAGTTATAATCTCTCCTCTTTTATTTCTGGTTGTGTTTATTTGGGTCCTCTCTCTTCTTTTTTTAAAATATATTTTATTGATTATGCCATTACACTTGTTCCATTTCCCCCCTTCATTCCCCTCCACCCTGCACACCCCCTTCCCCAGCATTCCCCCCTTTAGTTTCTGACCACGTGTCTCAAGTTCTTTAGATTCTATACTTCCCATACTATTCTTGCCCCCCCCCATCTATCTTCTATCTACTGTCTATGCTACTTATTTTCTATACCTTCTCCTTCTCCCACTCCCCTGTTGATAACCCTCCCTGTGATCTTCATTTCTATGGTTCTGCTCCTGATCTAGCTGTCCTCTTAGTTTGCTTTTGTTTTAGGTGTGGTTCTTAATAACTGTGTTTGTTCTTTCACTGTTCATCATTTTATCTTCTTAGAGAAGTCCCTTTAACCTTTCATATAGTAAGGGCTTGGTGATGATGAACTGCTTGAATTTGTTCTGATCTGGGAAGCACTTTATCTGCCCTTCCATTCTAAATGAAAGCTTTGCTGGATAGAGCAATCTTGGTTGTAGGTCTTTGGATTTCATGACTTGGAATACTTCTTTCCAGCCCCTTCTTGCCTGTAAGGTCTCTTTTGAGAAATCCACTGACAGTCTGATGGGAACTCCTTTGTAGGTGACTGTCCCCTTGCTGCTTCTAGCATTCTCTCCTTCATTTTAATTTTGGCTAA